GTGGGGGGGACAGGAGGGGGACAGCAGGGTGAGGGCTGTGGGCAAGGGTACCACAGTGGTCCAGACAGGAATCATCAGGTCAGCAGGAGTCTGTCAGAGAGAGAGGATCCGAGTCAGAAGATAAACTCCAAATTTTGTTGTTGTTTTGAGACAGCATTTCATGTAGTCTAGGCTGGCCTAGAACACGCTATGCAGCTGAAGTTGACCTTCATCTCCTAATATTCCAGCCTCTACATCTCGAGTACTGGGAAAGAGATTCAGTGATCTTGTGCCCTGGTCACTTGAACCGGGTTTTGGTGGGAACATATGCATGGTGGAAAGAGCTGTTCACCTCATGAGAGCCAGAGAGCAGAGAGAGAGAGACAGGGGGATGCAATTGTACCAGCATCCCCACTGAGGACATGCCACACATGACCTGTCCCTCCCACCAAGCCCCTCCTCTTAAAGGTCTACCGCCCCCCATAATGTGCCAGGTTGAGGTCCACACATTTAACACATGGACCATTGAGCCCCACTTAGGGTGTAAATCTATAGCTTGAACTGACCTAGATCCAGCCACGGCAGCTGTCATCTTGGATGTGGAGAGATGACGTCTGTATCCCATGGAGCAGCTGAGGAAGGGAAACCTCCTAACTTCAGCCTGGCTTCTATCTTTTTCAGACCCTTTGCGGAAGTCTGCAATGACCCCAAGGTACCAGGTGAGTGAGAGGCAGGAGAGGCCAGCCTTCTCCCTCATGGGGTCTAGTCTATTGCCTTCCAAAAAAAAAAATCTTAAATAAATAAACAAAGATATGCTAGAAGTGCGGGCCCGCCATCTAGGGCAGCCCTGCCCCCACGTCAGTCTCAGTAGCACACAGCACGTTCCACATCTGGTTCCATCCCCAGCACCAGGCAGGACATGGTGAAACATCCCCCTAACCCCAACACTCAAGGATGATTGTGTGTAAGGCCACCACGGGCAGCAGCGTAAGACCCTGTCTTAGGGAAACAACACATGAATATAAAACAAAAAGGGAAGTGTTCCTGGGTGATGCCCCATGTCACCTGAGCATCCCACAGGTCACACTTGTCTCTGGGGTTATGACTGATATGACTGTTGTACTGTTAGCTCTTCTTGGGGTGCTCTAAGCCTGGGCTGTGGTGGGGGTGCTGCTTTGGAAATTCAGGTGGATTTGGAAAGATGAGTGGGTGGGCAGATGGGTGAATGGGAGGCGAGGGAGTGGGTGGGTGCGCGGATGGTATACTTACTTATGAGACCGAAGCAGCTGTCAGAGGGAGGGCAGTACTGCAGAGGCTACTCAGCAGGTGCTCTTGTCTCCCTACAGAAGAGGATGACTCTAACAAGCTGGGGAAGAAGGTGATCCTCCGAGAGCAGGTGAAGGAGCTCTTCAATGAGAAATACGGTCAGTGCTCCCTAGTGCTCCCATGCGGCCGGGGCGGGTCTACAGGGTGGCTGTCGTGACGCGGTGGCAGATGGCATGTATATTGGCTACTTTTTCTACAACTCAACTTAAGGAAGGAAGGGTTTACAGATCTATAGACCATAGGGCAGGAGAGCGAGTTCCCTGGTCCTGTCACATCTGTAGTCAGGAAGCAGAGAGATGGGTGCTGGTACCCAGCCCACTCTGTCCATTTCATTCCCTTCTGGACCACAGACCTGTGAGATGGTGACACCCACATTTAGAAGGGGTCCACATCAATCAAGTCAGTCTAGAAACTTTGACAGATATACCCGGAGGTATGTCTTCTGGGCAATTCTAGAATCTGATGTCACATACTTACATGGGTGATGTTGCTGTCCCTGGGGCTGGATGACTGCTGAGTTGGGCTGTCAAAGTCATAATCCTTTCCCAGAGACTTTCACCGTTTGACATGGGACCATCTTTCTCTGGCTCTGACCCCCGTTCTTCAGGTGAGGCCCTGGGACTGAATCGGCCTGTGCTAGTTCCTTACAAACTGATCCGGGACAGCCCAGATGCTGTGGAGGTGAAGGGCCTCCCAGATGACATCCCCTTCCGGAACCCCAACACCTATGACATCCATCGGCTGGAGAAGATCCTGAAGGCCAGGGAGCATGTACGGATGGTCATCATCAACCAGCTCCAGTGAGTGC